TCCATGCCAGTCATCTGTGAGAGAGGTTTGCCTAACCTGCTGCAGTTATCTCCCCACTTTCTGAAGCCATACTTGAGGCACTCCCTTTCGGCACTGAGCACAGACAACCTGGAGAGCATCCCCCTCAAGAAAGGTCTCTCTGTTCTCCACAAACACCTCAGTTTTCAGGAAAGCACCAAATCTTAAGGATTTGGGAGCACGCGTTTTCTGTTGGCCCACACCAACGCTCTTGACAGGTCTGACGCGCGCCTGCGAGCTCAGCGAAGGTTTCCTGCTGGTTTCTGGAGGCAAAAACCGCAAAAAAAAGTCTTGGAGGATGAACTCGGAAGTCCCTGCGAGCAGCTACGAGGCTCTGCTGCTCTCTGCTGGGAAATGCGGGTAGAGCCCTAGCAAGAGGATGTACTGGGTGAAGAGCTGGATGGTTTGGCTTGGTCTCTGCACAGAAATTCTCAGGGCTGCCTCTGGGAAAGCAGACACCTTGGTGCAGTGTCCTCCTCAACGTCGCTGGAAGCGGGCCCACGTCAAAGCTGCTGGTGTAGGAGCAGTATGGGCACAGTTCAGCAGCCCCAGCCCTCCCTACCTCATGCAGGAGCCGGCCTTCTCCACATTGCCCTGTTGCACTTACACCTGCTCTCCTCCCAGCCTGTAATGCATTTACTTTCTCAACAACCTTCTGGAGAGGGACAGAGCGGTTCCCCCACCACACAGGTAAGGAACCAACACGCAGGGCAACTGTGTGACCCTGCCAGAGTCACGGAATCACAGAATCATCTCGGTTGGAAAAGACCTTGAAGATCATCCCGTCTAACCATGAACCTCACCCTGACCGTCCCCAACTCCACCAGATCCCTCAGCGCTGGGTCAACCCGACTCTTCAACCCCTCCAGGGATGGGGACTCCCCCCCTGCCCTGGGCAGCCCATTCCAAGATTTCTCTCCAAGGGCCTCTGCCACTTCCTCACAGCCTGATTTTTTGATCATTGCTCGGTGCCACAAAGCTGCTCTTTGCTCTCCAGAGCTCAGGAAGTCTTTAACTATGTCTGGCTGCAACTGTGCAGAACCACAGGTCAGAGATTCTTGGAGCCAGAGTGTGCAGCGAAGTGCGAGGCCACGGCCTCCGGTATGGGCTGGGCTGCAGCAGCCTCATGGATCATGCAGCAGGTGAGCTTGCCGCTCTGGCCAGCAACCTCAGTCCAGGAGAAAGCCTGAACCCTGACAGCAGTTCCAGCACGAAGGAGGGGGGAAAATTCCCCAGCCTGGTGCTGACCGGGGCCCTCTGCCCCCTTAAGCAGTGACATTTAATTTTCTGATGTGTTTCATCTCATGCATCTCATTACGATTTTCAAGTATCAGATGAGATGACAGGATTTTAAGACAGGCATTTTCAGGATTTGACTATTTTATATATATGTTTACAGCTCAATAAAATAAGAAAAAATATTCAAAGTGAACAGACTGTGGAAAGTGATTCGTTCCAACTCTTCACTGCAGACTTGCAAGAAACCAATCAAAGAGGCTCAGGAGTGGTTTGAGCGTAATTTATTAACCCAAAAGGGGCCGCATTGTTAACCAACATTATTTATAGTGAACAGCTCAACCATCTCTACTGAACAACTGTGTGATACTGCAGGGACAAATGCAATGAGTTACTACACAGATAGGACAAAACCAGCAGCAGATCTTTGTTACAGCTGTTAGAAAAAGTGTCCCCAGGAGACAGACACTGAATCTCTAATAGCTATCTTATTTCTCTGACAATTTATTTAAGTTTTAACTTAACAGCAGGAATGATAGCCACAGTTACACAGTGACTCCCAATAAAGGAGCGTATTGCTGATCTGCAGCTGGTGTTTTCTTATTTATTTCAAAGTCTTTAAGTTCCAGACTTAGCATATGGTGCCATATAAATAATGATATAATAATACGTTTTTGCTTTCCATGTGCCTGGATAGAAAAAAGCTATGTGATTTATGTTACATGAGCATTGTATTTAAGGCATTATTTGGCTCAGAATTTTTAATGCATTTAAAAATGCATCTTCTGCTTTTTGTAATCTGTTCTTTTGAAAGAATAAACAGAGCAGTGATGTTTATTTAATGGAGTCATTCATCTTACTTCCTTGAACAAAATCCTAGCTTTCCAGCCCCAGCAGCCAGTTCCCTGCAGTAGGCAGTAGGGTTGGAAATGGAGAGATCTGCTGCTTACCAATGAGGCACACATGAAAGAAAGACACGGGGCTCAAGATTTACCCACAGCAGGACGTTATTTGAAGCCAGCAGGCAGCTGAGAACTGCTTAGTCCTGTTCAGCAAAGGATGGAGAGGAGAAACCCATGGGAGAAGTTCTGCAGGGAATTGTGCTGTGGAGAAAACAGCACTGGGATGGCTCAGCACAAAACTACCCATACACACACAACTGAAAGCAGGTGCCTGCTTCAGCTGTAACTGTAACCGCAGTTATTAGAGCACACACTGCCCCCCTGAAGTATGACAGGGGTGTAACAGTTTACAGCTTTCCTTTCAGACCCTTGATAAACTAGGTCTGTGAGCATTACAGCTGTGCAGGGCAGGGAGGATCTAACTCACGCCTCAACTGTTTCTTGACATTGCTGTCTTAGTTTCCAGACTGACTGGCAGCAAGACCTCATCAAGCAGAAACTTCTTCACAGCTACAAGGTTTGAAAATGTGAGTATAAACATTCACAGATCGCTGCAGAACAAACAGATTTTTTCTAACAGGTGTACGAGGCAAACCAGTGAATATTCTGTCTACAAATTTAGGCCTGCTCCATTGGTCCACAGCTCCTGGAGGAAGTATGTCAGGGTCCACAAGTCAAAGACTGACAGTCCCAAGCACCAGGCAGTATACTGTACCCTCTCCCATCAGTGGAGGCTGAAGAATTCAGATCATCAAATCTCCCTGAGAGTCTACCCCACCTAAGACCCTTGAACAAGTTTATAGATTTTACCCAGCATCTTTCAAGATCTTTCCAAGTGAACACAGACCATAAAAACCTCCACACTCAAAAAGCCAGCAGTCCCATGCTGTCTGGGATCATCACAATCACATGGGAAAGTGAGAGAGGCAAGATGGGCTCAAAGGAGATGAGTAATGGTCTGACATCACATGAACGCAGACAGCAGCACTCCAGTGTGAGACCATCTGAGTGGTCAGCGTGGCTGAGGATACAGACAACGCCTGTCACTGGGCTAGTACTGCAGCAATGAGGAAGCCTCTTAAGAAGTCAACAGCATAACTTGAAAAACACACACACAGAGCTGCTTTGAATGGAAGTTTAGCACAGGTTTTGGAAGTCCTGTATCCTCCTCTGTCTCACTCCCCCATCAAGCCCCATAGCAGTTTCAGCCACTCCAGTTTCAATCCTGGCTCTTGTCACAGTGGAGCATGAACCAGAGTATTTCAGAAGTTGGTTACTGTGGTAACCCAGCACAGCTTTTATCTTTATTCTTTTCATCTCCTTTTTGGGGGAAACTGTCAATCTGTTTATTTGCTTTTTCTGATGAGTTCATCATGCAGCACACCATCAGGATCTATGTTAAGCTGAGGAGAAAGTAACTCTCACATGAATGTACATGTAAATATTTCTCTCAGCACTCTACTACCCTACCTCTTGCTTCCCTGCTTCTCTTTACAAGCTGACATGTGCTTTTCCATCTGACCCTCTGTGTACAACCTGTCTCTGCCTTTCTCCTCCAGGCCTCCCACAGTACTTACTAAAAGGACAAGAGCAAATGGCTACACTTGGGTTTGTTTACATCCTTTAGAGGAGCACGGCCAGGCTGAAAACACGCTGGAATTCACGGTGAAGTGACTCAGATCCCTACAAAGCAAAAAGCCGGTGGCAGGCTGGGCACTGGGCAACCCTCATGCCCTTCCCTCTGCCGAACGACACTTCTACCAGGCCACAAGCGGCCAGAGGTCCCTCCCAGAGAACTCGCTGGCTGCTGACACGCACCAAGAGCCCTCTGTGACTGCTGCGGGGGTAGGGTGGAGCCGGCGAGGGGGTGGCCACCAGGCCCAGGCCCAAGCCCAGGCCCAGGCCGCCGCGCCGCCC